CAGTAGGCCACCCGAGCGGCCCGATGCTGGGCAACCACAATCGTCTTGTTGCGGCGCCTGAGCCACGCGAGGTCGGCCTCGGCAAGGCGATCTTCCACGAGCGTGTCAGACAGCTTCCTCAGGAACGGGAACTGCTTCTTCAAACGGCTCACGGTCACTTTCGTCTTGCCTCGGTTGGCCACCGCCCACTTCACGACGTCCCTGTCCTGCTTCTCGGTAGTCTTGCGGGGGGCTCCTGACCCTGCGTCCCTCTCTCCGCGCCACTTAGGGTTCTCCTGCAACTTCTTCATGCTGTTCGATATTGCCGTCTCCGAAAATGATGTTTTCCCGTCTGCCTTCTTCAAGCGTTGGGCTATGCTCGTGCACCCCAGACCATGCTCCATGTGGGCCTTCACTTGCCCAACTTCAAAGGGAGACAACTGATACGAGGCCATGGTGGACGGCAATGCCTCTTGGAGGCAACAACTCGCAGATGAAGAAGCCTTGAGCCAAAACGGCTACGGACCCCAACACATGCTCTCGGCGAGGTCACTCATCCTGCGCACATGATCGACCCGCGGATGTTTCCGCGGGCGCATGTCGGGGGGCGTTAAGGACGCGTTGTCGTCGCCGTCGCCGCCGACGTCGCCGCCGTCGTCGCCGCAGACACCCGGTAGGTTAGGTTTGGTTGTGAACGGCGTTGACCTCAGCCAGCACCACACTTCGCCCGGGGCACTGGCCGCCCCCCAGTCAGCGAAAGGGAAAGCGCGGCTGAGGCGTACCATGTGCCAGACCCCCAGCGGGCTCCTACTGCGGTCCGCCGCCGACCTTCTTTGCTGCGTCGGCGTTGGAAGACTCGACCTGGTGTGCAAGCGCCTGGACCTTCTCCCTCGCAGCAGTGTCCTTGGGCAGCTCTGAGTGGTGAACGCCCGCAGCTTTCGCTGCCCTCCGTATTGCTTGAACCAGCTTCGCACGATTGTCCGAAGACATCGCTGGAGCCGAAATGACTACGGATGCGAACGTTGAGGACATCGCAAAACGAACCATTTTTGAACCACCCCCTGGATTAAAAAGTTGAGATCGGAGCTACACCGAAAGAACCGCATCCTGGTATTCGTCCGTCGTTCGGCTTTCGAGCCGCGACTTTCGATCGGGACTGGATCCTGGGAAGTCGATGGTCGCTGTTCGACCGGACCTCTATCCTCGACCCTCGAAGTATCTGGGGCCCTCGATCCTCGATCCTCGAGCCTCGATCGAACCTCGATCATGGATGTTCGATCGGCCAGGCATTCTGGAGCCTGGAGTTTCGATCAAGCCTGGAACATCGGTTCTCGATCGTCGCTCTTCGATCGGCCATCCAGCGTCGAACTTCGACGGATCGTGGCCGCTCGATCCTGGCTCCTCGATGTCCGAACGGCCCTGGATCCTCGACCCTCGATCTCCGACCCTCAATCGCTAGGTGGTTGTCGAACTTTGATCGGCCGTGGAACCCAAAGCCTCGTTTCCGATCGATATGGGTTCGCTCTTCCACAGTCGGTCCTGGGTCATCGATCGTGTATCCTCGATCATCGATCCTGGATCGTCGATTCTGGACCGTACATCCTGGGTCAACCGCGTCGCCCCAAAATGACCCTGGGATCGAACCTCCCACAGGGGGGCCTGCGACCCGACGCGACCTCAAGATGGCCTCAAGATGACTCCAAGACAAACCTGTGAACCGAACGATGCAACGGCCATCCCTGCGGACATCCGCCCAGGCGCAGATAGGACCGCGCGCGCGAGGCTGTGGCAACTGGAATCTGACTTGCACGGAGAGCATGCGACACGGAACAATCCAATACTGTGATGATAAGAGGAGAGAGTGGGAAGAGGAATAGGTCCGCGGCGTCTGTGTGAGCGTACATGAGACCAGAAACTCGAATGTCAGGAAGTCTCAAGCGAAATCGTCGTTTTCTGGTGGCATGAGATGCGACAAAAAGTAATGTGTGAGGAAGTCCCACGCGAAATCGCCACTGTCTGGCGGCCTCAAAAGGGACCGGAATATTTTTTTGAGGAAGTCCCACGCGGAATCGCCACTTTCCGGTGGCATGGCAGAATTTCCGGTCGCCCTGGAAGGCGACCGGAAATTTTTTTGAGGAAGTCCTAGGCAGAATCCCACTTTCCGGTCGGAGCCCCATTTGGCCTTTATAATATTAAAAGGGATGATGGAGGCACCGGAAACTCCGGAATTGGCAACAAATCCAACATTGTCCCGGGGCCCCGCTGCCTAACGGGAGGCAAACCACGTCTACCTCGGCCCCTGCGGTCTCCACTTTTTAATCCAGGGGGTCGTAGGGAACTCCATCGGAGGGCCCAGTGGCTGAGCTCGCGCGGTTCCTCCACCCAGCAAAGCCTTTCGTGGCCCCGCTGGCGGCTCCGCCGAAGGCGCCAGTTGCTGAGCTTGCGTGCGGTTCCCCCACCCTGTGCAACGTTCCGCGGCCTCATAGGGAGCTCCACCGAAGGCCTCAGCGGCTGCGCTCGCATGCGGCTCCCCCGCCCAGTGCAGCGTTCCGTGGCCTTATGTGGGGCTCCACAGAAGGCCCCAGTGGCTGCGCTCGCACGCGCCCCCCCCACCCAGCACGGCGCTTTGTGGCCCCATGGGGGGCTCCACCGAAGCCCCCGGTGGCTGCGTTCGCACCCGGTTCCCCTGCCCAGGACAGCGCTCTGTGCTCCAGAGAGCTCCGCCGAAGGCCCCCGCGTTTGCGCTCGCATGCGTTCCCCCCGCCCAGGGGGCTCCACCGAAGGCCCCAGTGGCGGCCCCGTCCCAGCACGGCGCGCCTTTCGCATGCTTCGCGGCCCCGTGGCGAGATCCCCCGACGGCGATGCCCGCGACGACGGCATTCACGACTGCATCTGGTTGGGGTCTTCGCCATGGTACTTTTCCGAGCTGGTTCTTCGTGCGCGCAGGAAGTTCAAGTTGCGCCCCGCGCGCGAGCGCGAGTCCGAGCGTCCTCGCTCGGGCCGCTGTCCAACGAGAGCAAACTGAACATGGCAAAGGTTCGCGCAATAATACCTGCACGACCACCCGTCGGGCGATGAGGCGGTCGCGCGGGGGGGGAAGGGGGGGGCCGATATCTGATTCAACCGATCCCATTCAAAGGGAGACCACGGGACACTTGCCGATCTCATTATCGATCTCACTATCGATCCCATTCGACGGGACACAACGGGACGCCGCGGGACACCTCTCGATCTCACCCTCGATCACACTATCGATGCCACTCAACGGGACACCATAAGACACCTCGGGACACCACATCGATCTCACTGTCGATCTCACTCAACGGGGACACCACGCACGGGACGCCTGTCGATCTCACTACCGATTTCATTCTTTGGGACACCACGGGACACCTCGGGGCACAGCATCGATCTCACGATCGATCGCATTATCGACTTCTCTCAGCGGGGCACCACGGACACCGCGACCGCGAGCCACTGCCGGACGGGCGGGAGGGGGGGAATCATTTGCTTCGACCTCGCCTTAGCAACGGGGGACACCACGGAACACCACGGCACGCCGCGGGACACGGCGGACCACCGCGGGCCACCGCCGGACGGGCGGGAGGGGCATAATCATTTGCCTTGACTTCGCCCCAGCAGCTGCGGGTTCATTCCTCTCGCGCACCCACGCAGCTTCGCCTCGCCCGCGCGCGCGACGCAACCGAAACGAAACGATTTCGAGGTTGCCACTGCGATCTCACCCCTGCAACCTCCGATGCATATATGTATATGTATATATTTACATATTTTTATATATATATATATAAATATACATACATATATAAGGCTGCTAGCAACAGTGAAACCCGAACTGTGGCCTTCTTGTGAGCTACGTGGCGCCATAGATGTGGCGCAAGCAACGTGGCGCAGATCACCCCGCCGAACTTGCAGCCCCGCTGCTCGCGCAATCATCCCGCCCGCGCACCCGCAACTGGGTCTGCAAAACCCATGCGCCGGCGATTGCGATGGCTGCTTGGCGCTGGCTGGCGCATCGGTGCGGCCGCGCTGGCGCGCGCGAGCTCGCGCGCAGAGCGGCCGGCTAGCTGCGCGACTGATGCGAGTCGGTAACTCGGGCGGGCGCGATACCATGACAACGGCTGACGCGCCTGGGTCGAGCGCGGGGCCCAGGCTCTCCTGACTGGCTGCGACCGCACGGGAAGCCGAAATTTCTTGCGGCGCGCGTTGGCCGCGCAGCCAACAACCAATCGCGCGGCCACCTTTGCTCAGCGGCTTATTTCCACGGCGCATGAAGCGTTCTGTTGCAACGATGCCAGCGCGTCGAACGGGCTCGCGCCAGAGATGCAGAATCCCACGCGCGCAGAGCCCGCTCCCAGAGACAAGGGCTTGGGCCAGCGGGGTCAGCGCGCGCGAGCGCGCGCCCGGGCGTTCTCGCTCGGGCCGCTGGCAGCGCCAGCGCGCGCAACAATTTATCGGCTCGCTCTCCAGAGGCACCCCTTCGGTTGGACGGCGGCGATTGGCGGCGCGCGCGCCCCGGGCGAGGATCGACGTGGCCAGGCGGCCAGGCGCGCTCGCGCTCGGTGCCGCCCGCGCGCGCCGTGGATGCACGGCGAGGGCCATGGCGGACGCCGCCGGGCAGAGATGTCCTGCGGCGGAGAAACGGGCGGCCAGCCGTGCCATCGAACCTTGGCGCGCAGCTGCTGGGTCGAGCGCGGGGGCTGGGCGCGCGGCGCTAGCTGCGCCCCGTCGCGGGCCCAAAGTGGGCGGCGGCGCGCGGTGGCCGCGCCGCCAATGACCGATCGCGCGGCGAACTACCCAAGGCGCGCCGAGATGCCAGGAACTTCGGGCCGCAGCAAACCCACCGTCGCGACGAGGCTGGCGCTTCGAGCCGACTCGCGCCAGGCGCGCAGATTCCCGCACGCGCGGAGCGCCATGCGCGCGCAAGGTCTGCCCCGAGAAAGGTGGGGGCGCGCGGGGAGATGTTGGGGGCCGAGCCGTCGGAGGCCGCGGACGGCCGAGCTCCCGCGGCCGGCGCGCGCCTGCCTCGGCATTTTTATTTTGCTGGGTGGGGGGCGGTTGCCGCCGCTGCCGCCCGTCCAACGGCGCGCGCGCGAAGCAACCATCTTCGCCGTTCGACGGGCGAGCAGGCCAGTCCGCGCGTCGAGGGGCCAACTCTGCGCGATGATGACACTTGTGCACTCCATGCTGCTGCTCGGTGCGATTGCCTGCGAGTTGTCCACGGCAGTCCAGCTGCAGTGGCACGAGCCGTTGGAGCGGGGCGTGAAGGCTCCAGCGCGCGCGCGAGCCTAGCGCCGTTCCGAGTTGGTTTCTGCGGACGGAGATCTCGCCGCAAGAGTTGGCCGATTTGGGAAATAGGGCCGAGCAGGATGCTCGGGCGCAGGAGTTGCCAGACAAGCGCAACAGCGCGGGCCCCTGCCGCGTTCTCGCGAGGTGGCGGCCCAGCGCGGCAATGTTTCTCTCGCGCCCGAATGCGGCGCGCATGGATTTTGCAGATCGCTGCGTCGACGCGCGGACTTGGCCGACCGCGGCGCTGGTTGCTTTTTCCAGCAGGCTTCTCTTGCGCGCAGAAAGATTACGTTGCGCCGTTGGGCGTCCCCGCGCGCCCGCGCGTTCGCCGTCGCGGCGGGCGCGCGCGAGCGCGTTTCCGAGCGTCCGCGCTCGGGCCGCTGGTTGCATCGGCGCGCAAAACAATCCAGTGGTTCGCTTTCTGCAGGTGCCCGTCGGGCTGGGAGGTGGCGATTGGCAGAATGTGCGGCTTGGGCGAAGATCAACGGGGCCGGGCGCGCCCGCCGTCGCCTCTGCGCGCCGCAGGTGCACGGCGCCGGCGGGTTATGGTGGATACTGCCGGGCAGAACTGTCGTTCGACGGAGAGTCAGGCGCCCGCCTTGCCATCGAACCCCGACGCGTAGCAGTTGGGTCGAGCGTGGGCTCTTGGCGCGCTTGATCAGCTGCAACCAAGCGGGAGGCCGAAATTGCTTGCGGCGTGTGTTGGCCATGCAGCCAATAAACGCCCTCGCGTCGACAGGTGCCAAATGCGCGCAGCGCGGCCAGCAGCCTCGGCCCGCAGTCTGCGACACATTATTTCGCGATGCACGCGGAGCGTCTTGCGCGCGCGGAGCCCGACCCGAGAGACAGCGCTCACCGGGCGGGGGGAGTCGGAAAAGCCAGTGGGTGCCAAGCCATCACCGCACGCGCCATTCCAGCACCGTTCCAGGAATATTTCTGAAGAACTGAGATCTCGCCGCAAGAGTCGGCAGAATGCTTGGGCGCAGAAGTTGAGGGACGCGCGCGACAGCGCGGGTCACCACCGTTTTCTCGCAAAGTGGCGACCCAGCGCGGCGACGTTTCTCCCGCTCTCCACTGCCTTGGCTTTGGGCTGGGTCGGGCGAAGGCATGGGGGGCTGACGGTTTCGCATTCGCTTCGCTGCAGCTCGCTGAGAAGTGGGGGGGCCCGCCGCGCCGTCGGGCTTGAATGCAGGGCGCGAGGGTTCTCCTGATCGCCGCGGCGACGCCTGGACTCGACTGACTGCGGCGCTCGTTGGTTTCCCCGAGCCATCCCGTGGTATTGGGCCTTCGTTTTGAAGAGAAAGCGCCCCGCATTATTTCCCGTCCGCCTCAGCACCCCCCCCCTTCCTTGCCCTTGCGTTTCGCGGCCCCATGGGTAGCCCCACAGAAGGCTTCAATGGCTGAGCTCGCATGCGGTTCCCCCACCCAGCACAGCGCTTCGTGACCGCATAGGGAATTCCACCGAAGGGCCCAGTGGCTGAGCTCGCGTGCGGTTCCTCCACCCGGCAAAGCCTCTTGTGGCCCCGCTGGCGGCTCCGCCGAAGGCGCCAGTTGCTGAGCTCGCGCGCGGTTCCCCCGCCCTGTGCAACGTTCCGCGGCCTCATAAGGAGCTCCACCGAAGGCCTCAGCGGCTGCGCTCGCATGCGGCCCCCCCGCCCAGCGCAGCGTTCCGTGGCCTTATGTGGGGCTCCACAGAAGGCCCCAGTGGCTGCGCTCGCACGCGCCTCCCCCACCCAGCACGGCGCTTTGTGGCCCCATGGGGAGCTCCACCGAAGGCCCCGGTGGCTGCGTTCGCACCCGGTTCCCCTACCCAGGACAGCGCTCCGTGCTCCAGAGAGCTCCGCCGAAGGCCCCCGCGTTTGCACTCGCATGCGTTCCCCCCGCCCAGGGGGCTCCACCGAAGGCCCCGGTGGCTGCGTTCGCACCCGGTTCCCCTGCCCAGGACAGCGCTCCGTGCTCCAGAGAGCTCCGCCGAAGACCCCCGCGTTTGCATTCGCATGCGTTCCCCGCCCAGGGGGCTCCACCGAAGGCCCCAGTGGCGGCTTCGTCCCAGTACTGCACGCCTTTCGCATGCTTCGCGGCCCCGTGGCGAGATCCCCCGACGGCGATGCCCGCGACGACGGTATTCACGACTGCATATGGTTGGGCCCTTCGCCATGATACTTTTCCGAGCTGGTTCTTCTTGCGCGCAGGAAGTTCAAGTTGCGCCGCCAGGCGTTTCTGCGCGCCCCGCGCGCGAGCGCGAGTCCGAGCGTCCTCGCTCGGGCCGCTGCCCGACGACAGCAACCTGAATGAACGTGGCAAAGGTTCGCGCCGTCGGGCGATGAGGCGATTGCGCGGGGGGGGGAGGGGGGGGCGATATCTGATTCAACCGATCCCATTCAATCGGGACACCACGGGACACTTGTCGATCTCACTATCGATCCCATTCGACGGGACACCGCGGGACACCATGGGACACCACGGGACACCGCGGGACATCTCTCGATCTCACTCTCGATCTCATTATCGATGCCACTCAGCGGGGCACCATAGGACACCTCGGGACACCACACTGATCTCACTGTCGATCTCACCCAACGGGGACACCACGGGGCGCCTGTCGATCTCACTATCGATTTCACTCTTTGGGACACCACGGGACACCTCGGGGCACAGCATCGATCTCACGATCGATCGCATTATCGACTTCTTTCAGTGGGGCACCACGGACACCGCGGGACACCACGGGACACCGCGGGGCACCGCGAGCCACCGCCGGACGGGCGGGAGGGGGGGAATCATTTGCTTCGACCTCGCCTTAGCAACGGCGGACACCACGGGACACCACGGGACGCCGCGGGACACCGCGGGGCACCGCGGGCCACCGCCGGACGGGCGGGAGGGGCATAATCATTTGCCTTGACTTCGCCCCAGCAACTGCGGGTTCATTCCTCTCGCGCACCCACGCAGCTTCGCCTCGCCCGTGCGCGCGACGCAACCGAAACGAAACGATTTCGAGGTTGCCGCTGCGATCTCACCCCCGCAACCTCCGATGCATATACATATGTCCTCTTTTCAAAGTAGAAGCAATAGCCAGCTGACGAGTGTGCCGTAATTCGGTTTCTGGTTCAAGCTCTTTCCCCCCAATGCCCATCTTGGGCGGGGCTGAGGTGCTCTTCGAGGGAGCCACTAACTCTCTGATCACCTCCGCCTCAGCGGCCGTCCTCACCTGGGCCAACCGTGTCCAGTGCCCTGATTGTCGGCCCGTGGTCAATTGTGATTGCTCGAGCTGCCCCACCGTCAGCTGCGGTAGCGTGATCAGGCAGGAGGCTAACGGCGCAACCTGGCTGGGCTCGCTTCTCTGGGGCATCCTCTTCGTCAGCATCGGCATCGCGTTCTCACGGCTACCCCTTGCTTGGGCCTCCTCGGCCCGGAGCGCGCCTCACCCCGCCCGAGTGGACCTGCCGGGGCCAGGAGGGGCTGCGCCGCAGCGGCCGCTACCGCCCCCGGCCCCGCCGGAGTGGCTGCTGGTGCCGGAGCCACGGCAGGAGCAGATCGGGCGGCCGCACCCCCCGTGGCGGCCCCAGGAGGAGGCCCCCCGCCGGCGAGTGGCGCGGAGCCAGACGGCGGTGGCGTGGCTGGAGCCCCCGCTTACGACTTGCGGGTGCTGGCCCTCGAGGTCGACTCTCAGGGTGTGCGATGCCGCGTGCTCGGGGCTGCCGTCACCACTCTCACGGTCACGCCGTCTGCGGATTGGCCCGTGCGCGGGCCGAGCGCCCTACCTTGGGTCAGCAAGTTCATCGTGGCCAACGACGGGCCTCCTGTGGCCAGGCACAACCGCTTCATGGCGGGGGCCCGCCTCAACGGCCCTGAGCCTGGGGTGGAGGACCACCTCCGCGTGTGCAGGGCCGTGGGTACGGCCGCCTGCTATAGCCTGCTGAACATCATTGAGATCGCGTCCTTCGAGTGGCTGGGGCGTTCTTCAGGTGCAAGGAGAGCGCCACGGGGGTCGCGACGTCGGGTCTGAGGATATAGTTGATTCTCACTTCTTCGAGGGTTCGGACCTCTCCAGAGGCAACGTGTGCGTGGCCCAGCAGCTGCAAGATCGGATCGCGCAGGAGCTCGCCAGGGAGATCCCGGTGATGGAAGAAAGACGAGGGGCTGGGGAAGAGCGCATCGCCGACCGCCAGCCTCGCAACACCAAGAGGGCGGGGGGCAAGGAGCAGGGGTGAATGCCCCCGCCGACGCCGGGACAAGGGCACCGGTGTGCGGCGACCAGACGTATGAGCCCTCTCCGACCGGGGCGCCACGGTCGGGTATGACATCTGATGGCGCTGCCTCTGTTTGTGCCAGAGACATTTTTCCCCTTCCTCTACTCCCCTCTCCCAGAAGGCCTGGCCGCGGTGCCTCCAACGTGAGTAGGGGCGTCATCCGACGCCGTCGCAAAGTTTAGCATTCTGTCGACTGGGCCAACGATGCCATCTCCTCCCTCAACAGTGCTTACGGCTTTGGGCCGGCCCGCCGTTCTGTGAACCCAACCTCTTGCCAGAGGAACGTCCTCGATCGCATAGGTAAGCAGTTTCGAGAGGCCGGCCCCCAGCCAGCTGACCTCCTTTCTGGCGCGGGAGCCCTGAGTGAGCTCTGCGCCGCTAGTGGTCTGTACGACTCTGCAGGGACCACTAGGCGACCGTTTTCCCGGGAGCTTGTTTCCTGGCCAGATGAGGGGACTTGCCCGGTTCCTCTGGGTGATCTCCTCAGCGCTGGCGATTGTGAATGGATCGGTCGTGCCCACGAGAACTTGCTAAGGCCCTCTGAGGAGGCTCGAAGTTTGATTCGGGAAGCTTGTCCGTTGGGGCCCTATGTGGACCCGCTTCTCAGCTCGTCTCCTGCTTGGTACGCTGCGTTCGTTCGTAAGCTTGTCGACCGGGGGATGGCCACTTTGAAGCTCGCCACTGGCCGCCCCAGCAAGGTTGGTGTTTTCTTCGTTGCGAAAAAGTCGGGTAAGCTCAGGCTTATTTTCGATGCCCGTGTTGCCATTTGTTTTTTTAAGACCCCTCCTGCCACCCGTCTTCCCACCGCAACGGCCCTTGGGTATGTTGAGTCCCTGGGGTCCGACGTTTTTGTAGGATCAGGTGACATTGACAATTGCTTTTACCGCATGGGCCTGCCGGCAGAGCTTCAGGATTTTGTTGCCCCCCCCCCTATCGATGCCGGAGTTGCTGGGCTTACAGAGGTTGAAGGCCACAAGGTGGGTCCAGGGACCGCACTCGAACCCGTGCTCACAATCCTCCCCATGGGGTGGAGTTGGGCTATGCACATCGCCCAGTCCGTGCTGATGAATGCCCTGGGCGACGCCGGCATCGATGGGTCGAACCTTGTCGTGGACGGCAACCCGGCCTCCCCGATCGACGATTTCACGAGCGTGCGAGTCGCAGGCTACGTCGACAACTTCGTTGTCCTCGGCCCGGGCCCCGACGCTGTGGACTCGACCGTGTCCCGAATTCGCTCCGCCCTCGAAACCAAGGGCCTCGTCGTCCACGAGCTGGAGCCCGCCTCGAAGGACGCGTCTTTCCTGGGGTTGGAGCTTAATTCGGGCCAGAGGCTCTCTATCCGCCGACGAGGTCTCTGGAGACTACGGCTGGCTTTGGAAGAGATCCTCAGGCGCGGACGCGCCAGCGGATCTCTTCTGCAGG